AGATGAACATGTGGTACTTCCTGTTTATAACTGTTGTAATCAGCTGATCATGAGGTCGGCTGCAGGTCTTTATCATCTTTTACATTTTTCCAGTTTTTATACTGCTACAACTCTAAACTCAAACTAAAGCGTGTTTGTGGATCAACAGCTTCACACAAACAATTTAATCATGGTTCGCTCAGAAAGAGATGACACTTCTATTCTTTGCCGTCTGCAGGATGGCGTGGAGGACAGTCACCGCATCCCCCCATCTCCGGTCGTCCACGTCCGAGGACTGTGCGATGCTGTGGTGGAGGCTGACCTGGTGGAAGCCCTCGAGAAGTTCGGCAACATTTGGTAATAAAAACATAGATAATATTTACCACAGGTAAATATTGTTTGAACGTGTTATGAAACGAGAAAAGACGACGTACAAGTTAAAGGTGTTAATTAATTTTGACCTGATTAAAAAAAAGACAATTTGCTTGAGAGAAGAACATTGTTCATCTGGTCCACGTCTTGATGTTTGGACCATTTTATGAGCTTTTGAACATTAATTTAAAAACCAAAGTGTAGCAGTGTTCCTCCTGTGTTACTGACCTTGGCAGGGCGCTCATCTCTTCCGTGGTTTTTGTCGATGGGGGCGGAGTCAAGTCTTTGTTGCGCGCTGCTAGTTTAGTGCTATGTCAGTGTCAGCAGGGTGGGGGGTGTTCATGGCAGTTTGGTAGGCAGGGCGCTCAGCTGACAGGATGGGGCGCCCTCCTTGTCTAATGGTAGGAGAGACTCTGGAATGGAAATTAGATTTATTGACTTGAAATTGGGGACTTCCTAGAAAGGCAGCACCTATTATTATTATCCACCTGAAAATGGTCTTACTCTTCTTTCAACTGAATACGGCCCGAACCGCAACGTGCCCCCCCCACAAATGTTATACAGAAACGACCAGCTCGGCCCCGTGATGTGTGCTATTACTTTTATTGGCATGTCACGTTACCATGGCGACATATGCAAACAAATAGCTCTGCTATTTTAAAAGATATTCAACTGGAATTTGGCGAGGTGGTAGCTGGGAGCAATCCTGAATTCAAATAAAACATTAAAAATGGCCACCAAAGCTAAACTTAAACGGATTTAACTCGGCTCTTTTTACACACATCGAGCTGGAATCTGGCGTGGTGGTAACTGAGAGTGAACCCCAACACACCGTACTGTCAAATCAGTCTTTTAAAATGGCTGCCATGTTGCAGTCCCCGTCAAAGCTCCTCCAGGAAGCTTCTAGTTTTGTTTCTTGCTTGGTGATAGCATGACTTCAGCGTCAGTTCCCTTCAGAAAACAGCTGCAGTTTTTGTTTTAGGCCCCAGTTATCAGAACTTTTCCCTCTTGTTGATGTTTCTACCTGTAATACAGTGACAATAAAACATTCTGGTTTTAAATCTACTAAAGAACGTTGCACTCCATGTTTGTTACTTTTTTTACCCCTGGGCTTCCATCGCATCTGAAGCTGACACACAAATTTCCATTTTTTTTGTGTAACATCACGTGCCGTGAAACAATCCAACACGTATTGACCGTCATGCTTCTGATGGTGTGTGTGAGTGCTAAAATAAGGTGTGGTTGTGGCTCAGAGTCATTCTTCAAACGTGCTGTCAGCTCGACACGGTGGTGCACAAGACTTTCTGCTTAAAACTCAAGAATGAACTGTTAAAGAGCAACATGTGTAACAACTAGCTAACCCATGTAAACTAACAACTATAACTAACCACGGGACAGATTTTAGTGAAACCTTTGTCAGCAGTCTTCTTTAAAAGATGGCCGCCACAGTTAATTGTGATTAACAGAAAAACGATCATAGCTCCAGCCTGGTACGGGTGCAGAGTTTTGTCTGTTTGCAAATGTCTTTTTTATTCTTTCAAACACAGAAACAGTGTTTACTTGTTATTATGTGGACACACCAAATGCCATATTTTTAAAAGTGATGATGTCATAGACTCCGCCTCCAGCCCGGCCTAACGACAGGTTACATGCTTGTGTTCGTGCTGCAGATACTTCTTTAGAGTAAAAGCTTCAGGTCCAGCATCAGACAAGACTGATGGACAATAACATTACCCCTTCATTATTCATCAAATAATCCAAGGCCAAAATTATTTTATTAAACTGTCAACATTACAAAAACGATCGTTGCAGATAAAGATCAACAATATGCATCAAATGTACGTTTAGAAATCATAGAGCATAAGTATTAGAAGATAAACTTTATGTTTAAATTATTTCCCATGAACATTCTGATGATTATAAGTTAAACTCTTCCCTCCAGCCTCATCTGGACGTATACTCTGCAAGAAGTAGTCCATTATGTCCATGTTTTCAGACCAGCATGACTCCCAGTCTACAGACTGAAATTTTAATGGGACACAGTAAGGGTTCAACTTCATCGTCAGTCCAAAGAAATGGAAACATTTCTAAAAATGTGTTTACAGGAAAAGATTGTTCTGGAAAGAGAGTGTTCCCATGTGGTCAAGGCCTCAGTCAGTTTTACATCCACTGTGCTAAAATTTGATGTGGTAGTAGCTGACAGTCATTCACAACCATTGACGTAAGAAGCACTTTTGTGTGTATGAGTGTGTGTGTGTGTGTGTGTGTGTGTGTGTGTGTGCGCGCGCGCGTGCGTGCGTGTGTGTGTGTGTGTGTGTGTGGAAAATTTTGACCAAAGTAGAAGCCATTTCCTGCATTCTGATGTATTTTAACAGGTTGTTAAACGTCTACATTTACCAACATGTTGATTCAGCAACTATCGTAGAGAGCGCGAAGCTCCTCCCACATTCGTAAGGTACGATGCGGTTCGGGCCACATTAAAGTTGATGGAAGAGTAAGGTGTAAAGTTAAGAAACCCTTGTCAGGTGGATAAAAATAGGTTCTGCCTCTTATAAGCAGTCCCCAATAAAATGGTAAAATGGTGCAATAAATATGTTAAAAATCTGTCCAAAATAAAAACTTACTAATCTAATTTTTTGTCGGTAACACATCTAGCAATAGAGCAAGTGTGGTGTTGTTCTGAGAGCCCCCTCTGACCTCTGCACTTCGCTCTGTTGGCAGTTACGTCATGATGATGCCGTTTAAGCGGCAGGCCCTGGTGGAGTTCGACAGCGTGGAGAATGCCGAACGTTGTGTGACGTGTGGAGCCAGCGAGGCCGTCTACATTGCTGACCAGCAGGCCTTCTTTAACTTCTCCACGAGCCAGAGGATCACCCGACCCACCAACGCAGACGACCCCACCAGCAGAAACAAAGTCCTGCTGCTGTCCGTTCAGAATCCACTGTACCCCATCACCACCGTGAGTGCAGCGCCTTCCAGTTACCACTCCCAGTTTCACTGAGAATTTATTTTATTTAAAAAATACAAGCCCGAATTCCATCCATCATCCATCCATCCATCCATCAATCCATGCATTCATGCATCCATCAATCCATTCTTCCATCCATCCATCCACCGTCCATCATCCATCAATCTATTCATCCATCCTTCCATCTTTCCATCCATCCATGCATTCATGCATCCATCTATCCATCAATCCATCCATCCTTTCATCATTCATCCATCCTTCCATCAATCCATGCATTCATGCGTCCACCCATCCATCCATCCATGTATCCGTCAATCTATTCATCCATGCTTCCATCCTTCCATCCTTCCATGCATTCATGCATCCATCTATCCATCAATCCATTAATCCATCCATCCTTTCATCATTTATCCATCCTTCCATCCATTCATCCATCGATCATCCATCCATACTTCCTTCCATCCATCCTTCCATCCATCCATGCGTTCATGCATCCATCCATCCATCTATTCATCCACACTTCCATCCATCCATCCTTCCATCCATGCATCCATCCATCCATCCATCCATCCTTTCATCATTCATCCATCCTTCCATCCATTCATCCATCTATCATCCATCCAGCCATCCTTCCTTCCATCCATCCTTCCATCCATCCATGCATTCATGCATCCATCCATCCATCCATTCATCCACCCTTCCATCCATCCTTCCATGCATCCATCCATCTATTCATTCATCCATCCATTCTTCCGTCCTTCCATGCATCCATCCATTTTCTTTACCCACTTCTTCTATTCTGTGTTGGGGGGGGGGGGTGTCTGGTGCCCATAATGAAACATTATTTATTTGGGGACTGCTTGAAGGCAGTACATGTTATTATCCATCTGAAAAGGGTCTCAGTCTTCCTTCAACTTTAATGCGGTTCAAACCACAACGTGTCCCCCACAAATGTTACATCAAAACAACCGACTCGGTACCGTGATGTGTGCTGTTACTTTTATTGGCATTTCGAGTTACCATGGCGATGTAGTTTTCAAACAAAGACACCATTTTTCTCATTGAAAAACCCCGACAGAGCTCTTCACAGCCTCTGATACAGTGAGGTCACATGACCTGGAGGGGAGAGGTCCATGAACAAAACTCAGTGTCATCAAACAAACTTTTTACCACCACATCTTTTAAGATACACAAATATATCATCTATCAAAACGGAAGCATTCTTGTCAGCTCATTTTAAAAATGGCCGCCACATGGCAGTCCCCGTCAAAGTTTCTCCAGGAGCGTTCTAGTTTGATTTTCTATTGATTTTTGACATTTTCTATCAATAGGGGTTTGGTTTTTATAATTGCACCAACCACTTCAGTTTAACCCAAAACATAGTGTTTATTGTTAAAATTTTATTTGTAAATAAATAAATAAATTTTAAAATGTATTCCTGGCTCTTTACCAGTTTCAAATATTTGTTGTTGTTGTTGTTTTTGTTGACGTGCACAGTTCAGTCACACGGTGGGATGCAGAAAATGATGGGAAGCTTCTTTGTCACGTGTAAAAGTAAAAGATCATCAGGTCTTTAGTGTTTCCAATAAATTAAATCATTTATGTAACCAGGTGCGTTTCTGTTTGCCAGCAGAATAAAATTATGGAAACAGTAAGGCACATCTTCATCACACTTTTCAACGTGCACAGTCTTAACTATTGGTACGCATGAATAGCAACAATAAAACATTATGCATCGTGCTGGATTTGAGAACAAGCGCGTGCGTATGAAGGAACACGTCAAAGAGAAGCTCTCTGTGGCTCTAAGCTGGGGTTGGAGCCAACCCGTCCCCGATGTGTCACAAACCGAGGTAGTAAGAGACGCTAAATGGTCAACAAGTGGAAAGGTAAGAAAGGTAAACCAGTGGTGTTAAAAAGGGACGGTCTGATAAAAATGGATTGGCGGCAGTGTGAGCACAGTTTGTTTCAGTGTCTCTCTCTCGGTGTCGTGATGGTCTGTGGAACCACCAACAGCAGATTCATGGGAAGATTGATGATGACACAGCATTTTTGTATTTAGTTAAAAAAGTTATATAAGCACAAAGGAATCACAAAACTGACTCAGCCTGGCATGTTCTGAAAACGAAACCAGGAAGATGTCTGTGCTCCATGTTACTGCAGCTGAGTTCTGCTCCATGCCTCTTTTGGTTCTACAGATCTCACTTCACTTAGAAAAGAAAAACCTACGGCACATGACCGTGTTGATCTGCAAAACCAAACAAAAAATGTGTAAATAACATAAAAATAACATAAAAATAATGGTATCACTTTACAGTAAGGCTCCCCTTATACATGGCTAATAAATAGTTTATAGAAACGTTATTAATTCCTCTATAAACCTTTATAAATCATGAATAACTGCTTATTATGCATTAATTACTGATGACAGAGCCACAACTGACCAGTTTGTTGCCACATAGTGAGCCATGTCAGTTCACTTATATTTCATCTAGAGTTGTTATTATATAATATTGTACTTTATCACTGCATTATAAGTATCTACAACTATATCTACAATGGTTGCATCACAGAGGGAAAGTGGCAGGTGTGCCTCCCAGACCTTCTGTGTGGAGTTTACATGTTCTCCCTGTAAAATTGCTTTTGTTTTTTCTGGCTACTCCAGTTTCCCCCCGCAGACCCAAATCATGCACGTTAAGTGGCAGCTCTAAATTGTCCCGAGGTGTGAGTGAGAGCATGAATGGTTGTCTTTTTTGTCTCTATGTGTCCTGTAATGGAAGGACTTGTGACCTGTCCAGGCTGTGATCCAGAAAGGAAAAGCAGGTAAAGACAACAGATGGATGGATGATAGAGATGTAAAAACACGGAGGTGGCCCCAGTTTCACTCCGTGTTGTTTCTGTTTCTTGCAGGACGTGTTGTACTCAGTGTGTAACCCTGTGGGGAGCGTCCAGCGTATCGTCATCTTCAAAAGGAACGGCATCCAGGCCATGGTGGAATATCCTGACTGTGTGTTTGTGCAGCTGAGCATTTGGGTTTGTACACATGTGAGCATGTTCAAATGACATAATTTAAGCTAATTGTGATGAGATCGAGGATGGAGGTAAAGGAAAACTGCTTGTTTAGAACTATTAAAGCTGACAGTAGGCTCCA